TACATTTCAATGATTTGTAATGTCATAAATGTGGATGAAATCAAGTTGTACTCGTTCCAATTCATCCGGGCACTGCTTTGATTTTCACACAATCATGAAAATGTTCCATGTGTCTTCTTAAACCACTGTGTGATATTTCGAAGAAAGGATCAATTTTTTTTACAGACATTTATTATAAGCGAATTAGTTAATGCAATTTTCTTTTCTGAACATAATGGTATGAGTTTTTTAATATATTCATCCATTCTTTTTGTTATTTTACGAAAATGCCAATCTGGATCAACAGTGTTGGGTTTTTTAAATGATCAGAAAGTGTTTGAGGAGTGATGCTGAATAATCTACTCATGATTGTCAGAGAAAAATCAGTGATATTTGACAGTAATTTGATTTGCTCTGTCATTGTTAAAGACTTTAATAAAGATTGTTTTAATGATTCCGATTTTTTTATTGTTTCAAGTAGTTTGTTAACTTTTTCCCTTTCCATTGGAGTGTTAATACGAGGAGCCAAAGCGGTTCTTCTGATTTCTTGAAGACTTAAAGCTTTTCTTTTTTCGGTCATTTTTTTCGACATTTTGTTATTTACAGTTTTTGTTATTCAAATATTTTTTGTTCTTAAAATAAAAAACAAATTTCAAATAAAACTATAGAAAAAACAATAAGGTGGCTCATTCACGTCAGGTAGTTTATTCTTCATACTGTAATTACAAAAAAAGATAATCAACAACTTTCTTACTATTTGATGGACTATCTTTTTCATTTTATTACAGTAAATACATGTAACATTTTGGGATTTCAGCACATACTTTTATAAAGAAGAATAAAATAACTAAAAACATTAATAAATTTATTATAATTTATACTATAATTTGTTTTAAAAATTGATTCGACAGGTGGGTCTGAAAAGTAATGAAAACCACTTAACACTTGTATAGTTCAAAACAGATACTAAACGACAACCACGGCTTCGATACGTTGTGTCAAATGAAACAATTTGTGTTCATTCTGTTCGGATTTGAGCATAAGTAAAATGATAATTGTGGTTATTATTATTATTTAATAATATAATAATAATAATAAAAATAATAAAAATAAAAATATTGTTTTAAAATCCAGAAATGGTTAAATTATAATAATAAATAGTTAATATATTATTTAATACAATTCGATTTTTACCTTTCGCAATGTCATTAATTATAATATAAATCATAGATTGACAACTATTAAACATTTAAAAACAAAATTATTTTTCATTTGTAAATATTTAAGCAAAATAATTACATAATGCTCTAACTTTACTAATAATCAAAATTTACATAGTTGGTATTGTTTTATCGCAAATATGATCTAGAAAAAATGTATTTTTTTACCAATTTTAAGGGTTTATAAGGAGATAACAAAAGCGACAATAACAATTTATCTCGTTCATTGCAAAGTCAAACAGTTTGTTTATTATGTTTAATAAACCACGACAGTGACGACTTAGACTTGAACTCATGTGTTTATAAAGACAAAAAAGCACAAAAAACAACAATAACAAAAAGACTTGATTTAATTTACTCTGAATATAAGAAAGATTATGATGTAAACTGCACAGATGATAATTTGTTTTGTTTATTCAAACATAGTAAGATTAACAAAAACTGCGTTTACTACACTAATATATTATAATAAAATTTAATTAAAAATTTATGTATATTTGGTTATATGTCTTACGATTGTAAGCTGTTTCCCGTTTTCTTTCAAATAAATTCTGTAATAACTCAGCTTTTCACCGTAATATAAATATACTTT